CTTTGACAAACCGTACATACTAGGAAGGCGACCACCGCGAAGCCAGAGCTGTGTCACGGTTTTCTCATGAATCAATCCAACCTTTAGCAGGTTTTTGAGTTTACGACTAATAGCCTTCTCCACCTGTTCGGTTTTATCTGGGCCTGCTACATCGCGTACGGAGCAGTTAGTGTCGGCAAGAATTGTTTGCATTTTCCGAACATAATCATGTTTTTCCATAATAAGTACTCCTGATCCTTTGTCGGGTTTTATTATCACAAGGTTTTGATTTTTGCGTAGCTCTTGCAAGGCTTCCCAATGTTCCTTCTTCATAATTCTACACTTTTCAGTCTTGATAATACAAAATTGGTTGGCAAGATCTACTGCTTTAGCTCTGAACCAACCAGCTGCGTCATCGGTGACCGGTTTCAAACCCGATAGCTGTTCGTATAAGCTTGCAAATAGTGCTTCAATCTCCACTATCGCATTTTTTCGGTGGCATTGACAAACTGAATCCCAATGACGAAGTTTCAAGCTGTGGGCAGCTTAATGGGATAGTGGACAAGTTCAGCACATATTTCTCAGACTCTACTGACAACTGGTCTCTGACACACCCCTGCGACATTGTTTTCAATAGTTGTTGCCTGGTTACTGATCGCATTTTCATTAATTGCCGAAGGAAGTCGAAGCAACTTCTTCTGGCGTTTAACGGCAATACGATGGGCGCATGCTTTAATGTGAAATTTCGTAAACCGTCGTAAAGTTCGATGTTTCACCGAAAGTTTGCCCTTTCGTAGTGACTTAACAAAATGACGCGGGCAGGTAGACGTACGTAAGCACACAGTGTAAACACTCATGCGTGCAATCTCCCGTGAGATGCAACAGCGCAATCCCACTAGATTGTCTAGCGAGCGAAATGTATCTCGACGTAGTCGTTTCTGGCTCTTGCAGAGGATAATCAGCAACGCCCTATCTGCCGCATCGAGCAGATTAGACAGGGGTAAAAATTCTATGTTCTGTCGGAGCTTTGCGACCGCTTCCACTCACTAACGGTGATGAGAACACGAACGACCGCGGACATGAGTCTAAGGATTATTTTACATGTGGAAACCATTTCGTTATATAGCATGACGCACAGGCATGAAAGCCGACCAGAGTACGGAAAGTGTGCGGACAAGTAAAGCGGATAGAAACTGAGCAAATGAGGAACCAGTCAGATGCATACAAAGAACGGAAGTTAGTGCTGGCCTCAGAGTATGGCTGCGATCTGGGTGCAGAAATAGCGACTCTAAGCAACCAATAGAGATAGCGGGATGATATGTTAAAACAAATGTCAGTAAACCACCAGAGCAGAACGAAACTCTACAGCCATTAACGGTTACAGAAGCATACGTCTTTTTATTGCTGAACTAACAATTGCTCAGTCCTTTTTATCTTGCACTCTCACCCTTATCGTTTCCCTTTCAACCTTAATTTTATCTTCCCTTTTTTCAATCCCTCATCCCAATTCTTGGCCCTTACCTAAGGACGCCGCGGATTTTTGCTTTACCATGTTGGATTCTACTTTTACTTTGGAAATACTATGTTATCCGTGTTTTCTCTGTGTGAATTTTACACCAATACTTTGCTTTTGGTGTATTTTTCGATTTGTGCGAATTTGATGGATATTCTCCGGCTACTGTCGGAGTTCTCACTGATTGGCCCAACTGCCGTTTGTGTCCGCTATCTTGGTTTGTTCTACAGCAATCGAATAGGTGTCTGCCAGACCACCAGCTTGACCGACGCCGTTTGGATTCAGCATACCAGTGCAGACGTTGCAACGAACGGCTTCCGCAGATCTGACAGTCACAATGGCACGTACTGGTTTCCCACGGAAAGCTAAGCCCAAAGCTTCCGAAATAAACGTTAGTTGTGGCGTAGACAGCTGTGTAAAACTTGTGCAGTGGTGTATATCGACGTCAGCGAGGAGACCTAATCATGGTTTACTTAATACTGACGAACTGAACTCATCCATGTCGCAATCTGTTGCAGTTGAGCCAAAATACCAACCTGAGAGGCCATCAGCCTAAATTGGCTACGCGCTACAGTCGACTTGATTGTCGACACAACGTTTTCTCCCTCCGTGTGTCCCGTGCCTGGAATGCCATTCTGACTCACGTTATCCTTGTCCCCACAATAACCCTATTTAAAATACGCCTTGATGAAATGCTTTCAAACTTGCATTACTTGATATAGTCCGTTCCACTTGGAGGACGAAATAACGCTAACCTAACCATGTGCTTAACGGCCCTCTCCGCAACGTGGCAGTGAGGTTACCTGCAGAAGTGTCCATGTGAGTAGCCTGGATGTAGCTAAACTGAATTAACATACCACATCTGTCAAACGAGTGAGCGTTTTCTTCTCCTTATTATTTCTCACGCACTTACTGAACTATAACAGTTCTCTATACTATTTTGCGTGTGCACATCCGAACAACCGCTGGCTGGCGGAACAACCTCCTCTTGGTGCCAGCTGGGTGGTTCGGGTTTACCCTGTTCCAGAAAATAGTTCAGCGGCAGTGTTCCAAGACGTGGTGGGTTTTCGTCTGGCAAGCGTTCTCTCTATAAAAAATTCGTTGAACAACACTGTGACGTATCGGTTGTGACTCGCCACCAACTAAAGTCACCCATTGCTTATCCGGACAAGCGCTTCAAGTCCACGGATAGCAAGCATCCATTTAGCACTGGCGACACGTTCAAACACATTCAAGCAAAAGGGCAGGAAACATTTACCAATCCCATAAACACGCCTACATGCAGACTTACATACATTCATATATAAACATATGCGACAATCCCATGGTTAAATTGTACATTAACTGATCACATTTTATACTCTTAACATGACCATGCCTGTGCAGGCGTGTCCCGCTTAGTCGAGAATACATCTTTTATTTATTAATTTACTTCAGTCTATCGTTATGCAGTAGTGCATTTAACTCGGCGGACACTTGAGATGACGATCTACTTATTCGATGATTTTACAAATTTTAATTTTTTACTCCAACCACCATACGGGACTTGTCCAGCACATGCTTTTTTACCCACGGTAAATCATGGTTCATTGCTTCCGTAGTCATTTGTCTTCTAGTTTCAGCTTACACCCGTCACTCCGATCCGATCGACAAATTCATGCCCAACCAAGCACTTCTATTTGGAGCCCTCAATCCGCGCTAAGACGGACATGCTTCAGCGTACGGGCTTTGTTGCAAATCGGTCAACAGGCACCATCCTGACTAGGCTAAACCTTAATGTAGTGCCACGGTTTGCGTGCCTCAACAATCCATTTAGCTATGCTGGGTGGTGCTTTTGCACCTTCACAACCACTCATGTCAGACTGGTCACTGGTTAGGTGCGAGACAAACTCAATCTCCTGATCCTTTAGGTTGCGGGTTGGGTATGACTCTTCACTCTAGAAACGGACTCCTTATATCCCAGTGCCAAAACCCCGCTGTCTTGCGGTCAGGTTCTTGAGCCAAAAGCTTTGGTTGAGAATTTAATGCTTCTCGTGTCTATGCCTGGGCAGTCCGACTGTAATTTGGCCACGCAATACAATGACGTCTTCTTCAAACAATTCCTTGAAGCTTTGCCCGTCAAAGCAAATAATCATTGGCGCTCTATCTGCTGCATCGAACGGGGTAGATAAGGGTGAGTATATCACTGCTTAGGCTTCTCCCTTTTTAAATCCCCTCTTGCGCTTTTACATGCCTAACGTCCCGTTACAAATTCGCTCTATTCTAAATATTGTATTGTAGGAGCAAGTAGAACTTTGCATCTATACAACTCTCACGAAATCAGTCAAACCTATTTAAGGCGACCACTCAAGAGACCGACAAAAAGTAGTCGCCTTGGATAGTTTCATGCATAGGGACAAGTGAAAACGTTGGGGATGTGGCTGATCGCCATATTACAGGTTGGACTGTAATATCAAGAACGATAAAAAAGCAAACCATCACTTGTCACTTCTCTGTCAGTGTTTCACGTTCTCACGTGATATCGTTAAAAATTCATTTAACTGACAGTAGGTTAGGACTCAAAATGTGAGATGTTTATGGGTAATTGTTCTCGTAATCTAATACTTGAGAAATGCACATCTACTGATCGTTTGAACTATATGTTCTGGCAAACCGTTCCAGACAATTACACTCGCCGTTCCAAGCACAGCGGATGGGGAATTCGCTTCAGATCTGGAACTACAAGCTTGTAGTGGTGTCCGCGTGTGCTGCAAGGCTTTCGCAATTGGAGCACTGGCTTCAGCATGGGGAAGTCGAATTCGGTAGGTCATGATGTGGTCGACTCGCAACGTTCGATAGGCCAAAGTTTACAGTCCCAGATTCTCACATATGTCCTCGTACAGTAAGCCTCGCAAAGTGGGGATGGTGCTGTTAGCGACATGTTCAATCTTCTGCGAGTGGGGCAATAAGCGGACGAGCCGTACTGTAGCATTTCTCTGATGGTGGAGGAGAAGAAGCGAGTGACAACCTCTTCAGACCAGAAGCAGAAACTGCGTTCGAGCGCCTTGTCTTTGGGATATTGATCGTCAAGGCCGCTAGAGAATTTCGATGCAAAGCGTCTAGCAGTTTCACCATTCTGTATCTGGTCGCAGTTGAGGAAATCCACTTAACCGCACCCGAACTTGAGCCTACACTATGTCAGATCAAGACAATGCTGCTGCTTTTAACAGCGCACGTTGCGAAACAATTTTAATAGTATTTACTATCATAAATGAAAAGTTACAGCACGAACGCATGTTTGGTCACATCTGCTATGCTTGGAGATAACCATTTCTAGTTCGTTGCATTACGCTCCATCATATCGGAGGACTGAATGCTCCTCGCTTAGGTGAAATGATACGGTCGTGGGTTGTTTTTCCGAGTACCCGGTAGCAATTGTGTTAAACCATGTATCGCTATGAAATATAAAGAAAATATCCTGGAAAATATCACAACATCAGACTCATGCTCTTTTACATCTTTCTTTCAGAACTGAATCAACTCTCAGGAATCGCCGCTATACTGCGATTTCCGATTCCTGAACCAGGGTCAGATGATTCCGACACTTCATCCGATTAGGTTACCTCAAGCAGGTGTGTGATACGACACGGTTCCACGGTGGCAAACAACATCAGTTTCCTTTTCACACTTGGCCATCTTCGCATGCACCAGATTCTTTTTTGCTGCAAAGTCTAGTAAACTTTGTTACTTTGTTCATTTATTCCTATATATATATATATTGTATATATAACATTGCGCCCATCCCCCAGTGGAATAAAACGGTTAAACTGGGAATATTATTCTCTACCCTAACTGAGTGGGTCTGCCTCTATTATCCTGCCAACCAGTATTCCCAACTCGTCATCGGATTTGTGGGCAATGAAACGCTTGCACCTGCCGTAGCTACTTGTCACCACGCGTCAAACTTGCTGAACGCCCACAAATTGGTTAGTACGTTTGTATCCCGTCATAGGTGATTCCGATTGGCATCATATGTAACCACTGAACGTCCGACAAATCTGGTCACAGGCCGGAAACGTATACAAATAAAGTACAGTACGAAACAAATGTAGATTTAGTGCCAGTTTTAAAAGGAAGCTCCGCGCTAAGCGGGACCGAAACGGTGGGAGATCCCTTGACTGTCCCCGCTTTACTTTGGTGCCGTCTGCGACTGAAACGCAACGGCGCCTGCCTTGTGGTAGTTGCTTCTTGTCCCGCGTTATTCGCTCCTGAGATGAACTTATCTGGCATTCGTCTTGAGAAGCGTCCTGCGACCACGATACAGCTGTTTTCATCTCAGGTGACTTCAAGGTTCACGATCTGGAAGTTCCTGCGTCCCGCAGTGAGAAAGTCACAGCCGCTCTTCAACATCTTATTGCAAGTATTCTGTTTTTCAGACATGTCAGTTCGCTCACCAGATTCGGAGCGTGAAACAAGCCATCGTTGTTCGAGTTAGTGTTTGCGAGCGAGGAGTTCATGACCGATAAGCCAATGTTAGGAAGTCCCCTAGCTCTGAGTGATCATCTCGTCACACTTAATGACTATGTGTCTTACGCCGAGTATACGCAAGAACATTTTGACTCGGTAGGAAAAACCGCACATTACGAGTTGCTGATAGAACTCATTGAAGAGGCAACTTTGGAGATTTTGGACGTTGGTTCCGCTGATAACATCTTTATAGAGTTTGTTGGCAAGTTCAGTGCTCTGAACTCTGCGTCAGAAACCAGGTCATTTAGTGGCAAAAGAACACTCGTTTGATTGGATGAACTTATTAACATAGCCAGAAGCGAAACAATCTCCTCGATGCATAATATAGAACAAGACACAATATTACCTGAGGGACTTCTTTCATTCAGAGCAAAACTCAAAATTTCATGGTCATGATAGACGCAGCTTCGCGTACGCACAGAACTAGCCCTAGTCTTGACAACTTGAACAACTATTTTAGAGCAGCATAATCACTGCATCACACTTTTCCGTGAGGACAAATAAAAACATTAGCAGTGCCTAGCAAGAAGGCTTTTTACTACTAACAAGCTACAGTACGAACACCCTCCGGAAACTGAAGCGTGGTACTCCCCATCTACCTCAGTCGTCATCAATACACGGTAGTTGTGATACAATAAAAAAACTAGTAATATAGTGCCAGGTACTATATTGTGCACTGAGGATGAGATGGTCGCTGGAGAGGTATGGACATGGAAACTCATAGCACAAACGTCTTTAAGGTCGGCTCTTCGCAATTTCAACTGGTGTATCCAACCTAACAACTCGACTCACCGAGCGGTCGCAAAAAAGGTGTCCTCCTGCGTTATTCGCCCTCAAATCTTCGGATATATTCTCACAGAGACCTACGTATTATCATTCGATTCGGCTCCGCGAGCTCCTACCACTGTTCCTCTTTTTGATCTGTCATTCGCGGGTCACCAGTAAACTGTGCTTTTGCAATTTCGAAGACAACCGTAGTTGAATTTTATCGCAGAATTTATTTTTCCTCCTGTCGCACAAGAACTCTGGTGGTCTTATTTTAAAGATCTTTTTGAGAGTCACCAGAACATCTTACTACCACCCCTTCTAGTCGCTGTACTAAGCGGTAGTTGTCAATTTGGTGCAGCTACTGTCGTCATTAGACATGTTTTCCAAGTCATCCTGCTTTGCCTAAATCCTACGCTGCACCGCTGCCCATCCACTTACCGGTTGGATCAATAGCACGCACGTCGCCTATCTACCCTAAGGAACGTGTGATTCATCTGGGCGCGACACGTCTGACCCCCTGACCTCAAACCAGCGCCGATCGCCACGCAACGAAAATTGAAGCGAAGTCATACACGGTGCGTCAGTATCTCTATCCTCTTGCTACCCATGTTGTATTGTACACATCCAGTCACTCCATTCCATCTTGTTAGTGGGGAATCTTTACACCATATCACCACCATCTGCGGTCATTCCTAATTCGCTGCCCCATTACTGACCGTGACCACATATATCAATAGAATTATTCCATTGTAAGCTAGTGGTAAGTGAGAGAACTACAACATAGATTCTGAACTCTCCTTTTCTATCTAATCCCTTCTGGAATTGGTGCAATTCACAATAACAAAAGGCGCCCCCCCCCCACATGAATGTGGCCCATTGGAAAGTCAATTGTGACCTATGTGTAAAAACCGTTAAATCTGGTCCAGTTTGTTTTAACTGTTAAAAAGCGTACTATTCGAAGTGTCTAGGGATGAATGCACTCGAAACTAGACAATACAGCAGCAAAACCGAAACATTTTGGTTGTGCCAGGTGTGCAAATCCATCCCTGTTGTTAGTTGTGTAATTTTTCTAATGAAAAAGTGTGAAATGTCGGCGGAAACAGTTGAGCAACTGGTGAACGCTAGCAACGCATCTGTGAAAGTAAACAATGCTATAGATGGAAATTGGGTATTGCCCACCCGAAAACACTGCACAACCACGACGCGTTTCGATGTAATTTTCATCTCATCAGGTGGAGACAGCAGGATTTGAACCCAGGACCATTGGAATAGCAGCCAACACTACTACCCCTTTGGCTACCGGATCACGATGGGCAATGCTTTTTGTCACAACGGTAGATGACTAATTGGAGGCTCAAGTTTGGATTACACGTTGTGATTGGATTGCGACACGCAACCTCAATTTAATAGACTGTGATTCACATTGAAATGAACCGTAGTCACTGCGATCGCTGGGACCGTATTCAAAGTAGATGGAAATTGGGTATTGCCCACCCGAAAACACTGCACAACCACGACGCGTTTCGATGTAACTTTCATCTCATCAGGTGGAGACAGCAGGATTTGAACCCAGGACCATTGGAATAGCAGCCAACACTACTACCCCTTTGGCTGCCGGGATCACGATGGGCAATGCTTTTTGTCACAACGGTAGATGACTAATTGGAGGGCTCAAGTTTGGATTACACGTTGTGTGATTGGATTGCGACACGCAACCTCAATTTAATAGACTGTGATTCACATTGAAATGAACCGTAGTCACTGCGATCGCTGGGACCGTATTCAAAGTAGATGGAAATTGGGTATTGCCCACCCGAAAACACTGCACAACCACGACGCGTTTCGATGTAATTTTCATCTCATCAGGTGGAGACAGCAGGATTTGAACCCAGGACCATTGGAATAGCAGCCAACACTACTACCCCTTTGGCTACCGGGTCACGATGGGCAATGCTTTTTGTCACAACGGTAGATGACTAATTGGAGGGTCAAGTTTGGATTACACGTTGTGTGATTGGATTGCGACACGCAACCTCAATTTAATAGACTGTGATTCACATTGAAATGAACCGTAGTCACTGCGATCGCTGGGACCGTATTCAAAGTAGATGGAAATTGGGTATTGCCCACCCGAAAACACTGCACAACCACGACGCGTTTCGATGTAATTTTTCATCTCATCAGGTGGAGACAGCAGGATTTGAACCCAGGACCATTGGAATAGCAGCCAACACTACTACCCCTTTGGCTACCGGGTCACGATGGGCAATGCTTTTTGTCACAACGGTAGATGACTAATTGGAGGGTCAAGTTTGGATTACACGTTGTGTGATTGGATTGCGACACGCAATCCAATCACACAACGTGTAATCCAAACTTGACCCTCCAATTAGTCATCTACCGTTGTGACAAAAAGCATTGCCCATCGTGACCCGGTAGCCAAAGGGGTAGTAGTGTTGGCTGCTATTCCAATGGTCCTGGGTTCAAATCCTGCTGTCTCCACCTGATGAGATGAAAATTACATCGAAACGCGTCGTGGTTGTGCAGTGTTTTCGGGTGGGCAATACCCAATTTCCATCTACTTTGAATACGGTCCCAGCGATCGCAGTGACTACGGTTCATTTCAATGTGAATCACAGTCTATTAAATTGAGGTTGCGTGTCGCAATCCAATCACACAACGTGTAATCCAAACTTGAGCCTCCAATTAGTCATCTACCGTTGTGACAAAAAGCATTGCCCATCGTGATCCGGTAGCCAAAGGGGTAGTAGTGTTGGCTGCTATTCCAATGGTCCTGGGTTCAAATCCTGCTGTCTCCACCTGATGAGATGAAAATTACATCGAAACGCGTCGTGGTTGTGCAGTGTTTTCGGGTGGGCAATACCCAATTTCCATCTACTTTGAATACGGTCCCAGCGATCGCAGTGACTACGGTTCATTTCAATGTGAATCACAGTCTATTAAATTGAGGTTGCGTGTCGCAATCCAATCACAACGTGTAATCCAAACTTGAGCCTCCAATTAAACAATGCTATACTTGAAACTGAACGGACACCTACAAACTCCCCGTTTAGGCCGAGGAAGAGGGCCAAGCGTCCCAACCTCACCATCGCGTCTCAGTCTCCAACGGCCCCACTTGCTTCTACGTTCTCCAAGGGTGTAATAACTAGTAATTCAGTTGACATACTCGAAACACAAAACTCCAGCAAGCCCACGGTAAAAAAATAACTGGACATCCTACGCAGCGGTTGCTTCTAGGAAAACGCCGTCAAAGACACCTGTGACTCCACTTACCGGAGAGGTCAAAACTGTGCCTCAACATGGATCGCTATCGCCAGTGCGGTCCACAAATCCACAGATAACGAACCTAGTGCTCTTAAGTTGCGAACCACAAGGCGGAATCATGGTGCCTTAAGTCTTGTGTGCACTAACGTTCCTGAATCCAAATCCAACACAATAAGGGGCAAA